TGTTACTATTTTATTTTCTTTATTTTTATCTCTATGGTGTTGGTTTCAAATTTCAAGCTTCTAACATAAAAAATGACCCAATTTAGCAATAATGTTTGAAGAAAAGAATATACTCTATATATTAGAGGTCACGTATGTTATCAGAGTCACACAATTTACCTTATTATATAGTCTAGTTTCAAATACGAAATGCATCGTCAAAACATGACATGTATTTATTTTAAATGGCTTATACATAGGGTAGAACATTTAATACTCGTACACCACTTATTAGTTATATAGTTATCTCACTAACCACCTAAATATCTATATCTATGGTGATAGAGTGATTAGATTCACCTACGTTTTGAAGATCTACCATGATTTGCATCTCAAAATCATTGTATATGGGTTAAAATCTAATTAACCACTTGAAATTATATAATCAGCTGCTTAAATAATCTTTAAAACTTGTTTTTATTTAAACAACATAGTCATTTATTACGTCTACGGAAAAATGTCATCTACAAAGGAAAGTTAATCTAGAATCGATGAACATACATAAAAAAACAAAATATTTTGCGCATTTACCGCTTTCGCAAGATAATGTGCACATACATCTAACAAATCTAAGCATATATATGTTTCACATTACATGAGTAAAGACTTTCAATTCTCAAAAAGAAAATCCATGAAAAAACCTAAATTGATTTTAAAAAAATATAATTATAGAGACGTAATTACCATATGTCGAAAACATATATTCAGAAAAGATCTAATAGACTAAACTCGATTTATAAAATTCTAAAATAAAAGAAAAGATTGAATCACCTGAAACAAATCTCTCGGAGGCGGCCTCATCGCATAACATACGATGAAAACCCTAGCGGCAGAGAACAATTTTTGTGTGTTAACTACATATTTATAATATACAAAAAATCAATTAATTAGGTTATTAAATTTTCAATTCAACATTTTGACCATAAAATATGGAAAAAAAGTTATATAAAATAAATCTGTGCATACGCGCGGATACTGATCTAGTTTAGTTATGAAATTTTGCCATTGCAAATGTGACAAATGCCAATTTGCACACTAGCTAATCCTAACGTGATCCAATAGAAGCCATAAATGAAACGCCACGTCAACCAACCAAAACACAACTACATCTAATGGCATTATTGTAGATTTATGGAACTTCTCTGGGTAAAACGTGATTCCAATAAAAGCAACACTGAA